TTGACCAAATGTAATTCTAGACATACGTCACTTTAATTAACAACTTTTTCATTTGGGTTGGAATTTATTGGTTTGGTCAGAACGGGTCTCAATTGAATTGGTTTGTATGTGTAAGTCTAGTTTGGACTTGTCTGTTTAAGTCTGTTCCAGACTTCCAGTATATTTTGGTTTAACATTATGTACTCCATATGGTCTAGTCTCATTTGGTTTGCATAGACGACTCCTAAATTAGGTCTAACTTCGGTGAACTGACAAAAATATTCTTCTTAGTTAATACCATGATTAAGTTAGGTCCATATTGCTGACCAAGGACATAATTTATTTAAAAATAGATTGTTGACCAAGTCAGTTAATAATGTATATAGTGGATGGACTAAACCTTTGTTTTTATCCTTTTGGTATATCATTGCATAGGTTGGGGAGGACGTGAGTGAAGGAGAAGCAAGAGTGCTGGTTGGGTACGGCTGGACCCCCAACACTGGCCTGGGATCTATGCTCAACTACTGTGATAGAGTGGTTCATGACAGAAAGCAACAGGAGAGGGATAGCTCAGAATGGAGGACCAAAATTGGGAAGATGCTCATTGATGGGTATAATGGCGGCAGAATTGTGCCGATAGAGCTTCCGGGGAGTCTAGCCAAGTACAATGTTGCTGATGACACCAATGTGAAACTAGAGTTAGACTAGAGTGAACATAAAGTAATTTATTTTTGTTAATACTTCATAATTCTTCTGAGATGCGTAGCACGTTTTTTTGTTATGTCCGTGAAGGTGAAAGGCTGAAATGAAAATGCTTCTTCGCATTCTTTGTTTGAAACCCTTTTCGAAATGCATCTACTTATCAGGCTGAAAAACTCAATTTTGTCTGCCTAATATTAGATTCAGTCCAATCTCTAATAGGCACTCGGTATCCATGATCTCTTTTTTTCCCATGATCTCTATGACTCTATATTCACAAGATACTCCCCCCTTTGTTTTCCCCTTTTACCCGTTTAATTACTGATTATAACCCTTGTTAGTAAATTAGTTACCTGTATTTCTTTTTTGGGATGTCCCAAAATGATGGTCTCATTTCCGGTTTTGGTAAAGAACTAAAAGTGGATTACCAAAAGAAATAAGACCATCAAATTGGGACAATTTTTATATTTTCAATGTAGTACGGAGTATGTTATTTTTCTTTTAAATTTTAAATTTCTTATTTTTCCAATTTTCGTTATCCTAACATTTTCTAATATTTTGTTATACTCCGTACTTTAATAATAATGCTTTATTATTATTTTATATTTTAGACATAATAGAAAAGTTATACACGTGTTTTGCTTACATTTTTACTTTTCCTACAGAGAAATACTAAAAAAACATCTTAATACTCATGTTTAAGCATTCCATGTTTGTGTATGACAATGTTTTGTTTGCATGAAACTTCAGCAATGACGACAAAAACAACATGACAGTCTTTTCAATTGACATAAAAATGATCAAATTTCACCTGTTATAAATAAGAGATCATATAAAATACTCCGTAACGTACTACGTAATTAAACTTTTATTTTAGACAATTCCAATAGGATGATCCTTGCGCTATATTTTCTTTGAGAAAAAGTCTTGCGTGAAATGCCAAAATGCATAAGATTCCACATATATGCATGTTCGACGCTACTTTAATTTGGTTATCCACGAGACAATTTTGTTTTTATACTTGTCCTACTTTTATTTTTTCGTCAGTCAAATGAAGTTCATTCCATATATACCATATTTAATAATGGGCGTGTTTGGCATTCAGCGGTTAGCGATAGCGGGTTATGTTAGCAGGTTGTCAATAACGGATTCAGTCAGCAGCTTTGACTAGCGGAATAAATTGGCGGGTTGTTGTTAGAAGATGTTTGGTAATTAGCCGTTTGACTATATAATTAGTAGAAAACGCCATTTTTCAAAACGACAATCCAAAATTCTCTTAATAGCAGCGTTTTCATCCAAAAATGCTAGTGTCGAACCGCTATTTACCAAACAACTTTTTCACTTATTGAAAACGCTGAAAGTGATCAAACCATCATTTTTCGGCTGAAACGCCGTTTACCAAACACCCCCAATATTTATATACTATCGTATATAGTTCTAGTCCGTTTTTACTTTTTTATGTTTAATCAATCACAAAACTCCAATTTTCTTAGAAACTTGCAATACATATATTCACTTTTGTCCCAATTTTTATCGCAATAATTTCTCCTATCTTACTTTTAAACATTTATTTATCTATTCAATTGATGGTGAGTGACGTACGACGTAAAAAGTAAATTCTAGTGGTCGACAAGGATTTCTTACCGCTATGATTTTGTGGTGGAAATAATTAAGTGTGAACTGTGAAGTACCACATTGGATCAGATTTCACATTACTTGTCCTAGCTAATTAATAGATGTATACGTTTAATATACTTGAATAATGTACTCAAAAGAGTGAAAGGGTCATACAAAGTTGAAAAAAATTGAATACAAAATAAATAAATTTATGTTCTACACATGAAAAATAAGAAAAAGTGCAAAAAATAAAAAGTAAAACAAATAATATAAAACATTTACATAAAATAATGAAAGAAAAATAAATAAAAGGTATATATATTTTGTACTATGTATTAAGCAAAGGATTTTATTAAAAATATTAAACAAGTACAAACACTAATGAAATAAGAAAAATTAGAGAAGACACTAAGCTTGTGAAACAAAACGCTAATGAGATGTTTTGGATGTTCTATTAACTTTGTCACTTTCCCGTTAAAGAATTTGTGGTTCCCGTTAATTCTCTCTCCTCTTCACAAATTTCAACCACACAATTTTTACTTTATTAATCTCCATGCCGGTCAAACTTGACAAAGTTATTAGGGACGGAGGAATTCTGAAATAGCCCGAACATTCAAAGTGAGCTTCACAAAATTCCTGAAGAAGGCTGTTGTTAAAACATTGTCTACCGGAACAGAAAGAACCTATTTCTGTTCCATTTTTGCTTGATAATGCAGGCACTTCTCCTCTCCTGGACAGTGCTTGCAAACCAGTAAAAGGTAAAAATATAGATAATATGCTTGGAATTGGTCGACGTCTTTGCAGGTAGTCTTATTAATAATCTATGCTAAAAGAAACATTAAAAATTTTATTTGTTAATTAATTTTCCCTAATATATCAAGTTCAAGTAATGTATATAGGAGATGTTAACTTTTTTCATATCAGATCACTAACTCTATCATTCATAATGTGATGTTATGGTAATGGTTGGTTTCAAGTTTAATTTGCATAATTGAATTCATTTGGATCCTTGGCGACACTAGGGATGTATCATGTATGCAAGAGGATTTCCATTGTCCAAAGTTTTGGACAATGGAAATATATATGTTTAGACGACTTGAGGGGTGGGGGAAGAGACAGAGAGGAGAGGGAGGAGAAGACCCCACTACAAGAAAAGTGCACATACATAGACCACTTTGTTTTTGCGATGACCGCATAACTGTCGTTAAAAACACCATTAACCACACATTTTTTCATTTACCACATACAAAACTGTGGTAAAAGGTCAGAGACGATAGTTTTTAACCGTGGCCAATGTTTGTACCACGACTGTTGTGGCGACGCACGTAACACTGACGCAAAAATGTCGTAAATGTTCTTCCTTACGTTTTTACGACAATTTTGCGACAGTTTTACGTGCGTCGGCACAACAGCTGTGGTAAAAACATTGACCACAATTAAAAATTGTCGTGTCTAAGCTTTTACCACATTTTTGTGTGTGGTAAATAAAAAAATGTGTGGTTATTGGTGTTTTTAACGACAGTTATGCTGCTATAGAAAAAAAATTGTGGTCCATGTGCAGTCTATGTGCACCTTTTTTGTAGTGCCCAAACAGACTTGGATTAGAGGAATCAGAACTGATATGCGTCTTCTTCGGTTGGATGAGAGTATGGCTTTGGAGAGGGCAAAGTCGAGGGCACACATTCATGTGGACGATTGATCTTTTTTCTATTTTTTTTCCTCTCTCCTTTTCTTTTCTTTTCTTTTATCGCTTATCTTCTTTGTTTTTTTTAGGTTCTTATGTTATTTTTATCTTCTCCCTTTTTATGTTCTTTTATCAATCTTTTAATCTTTTATCTTTCTTATATTCTTATGTTATTGTTATCTTATATTTATTTATCTTTATCATATTCGTTTTATCCTTTTCTTCTTCTTCTTGTTTGTCTTCTCTTAGTATTTTGGCATCGATATCATGGATCGATTCATGTTAGCCGACTCCTTAACATTTTGGGATTAAGGCTTGAATGTTGTTTTTGTTGTATAAAATATACTTCGTATATTTCTTAATTTTTTTGTAATTCATTTCTTAATTTAGTTCTATATACCAAGTACTTGTATTACTTTTAATAAAGTAAAGAAGTGTAGAGTTTTTACCTCAAACAATACTATGCATTATATTCTTCAAAATCTTTATGGTAAAGTAATTTGGAACACTCACATTTTGCTAATTCCGCAAGTGCCTGATGGGCATTAATTAATTGGTGTGCAAAGTGCAAACTAGCACTATTCAATTTAATTAGATCCGTTAATAGAATATATCTCCAAACATTTGCTATGAAGGATCTAGCATGTAATATTTTATTTGTACTTCTTTAAAATTGTTTTCAAGTCAAAGATAAGCAAGGTCCCAAACATTTCTTCAAAATCAAGTATAATAACTCTAGCTAGATGAAGTTATATATGATGGTATTCTCAATCCTATATAAAAAAAATAGATACGAGTATATTTTAAAAAAACATTCTCAATGACTGTGATTCCTTTACCGACAAACTTATCCAAAATAAAAATAAAACAACTACTCAACTGGGATTATCTATCTTTTCTTAAATGTGGTACTCAACTTTTAAAAACATCAAAATTATCCTAAAAGCTCAACTTAATGAGAGAAGTCGTCCAAAATCTTATATACACCGTACTAATTAATTAAATACATAACATATTATTAGTGTGAAATAGTTCAATATATAGCCCATGCTTACTTATAGAAGTTCTAAAACAAAAAATGATTGAAAAGGTATTACTAAATACTTAAAAGAACATTATTCCAATTACATTATTTAAGTGAATTTCTATGGTACACATGAAAAATAAAGGGAATTTCAATGGTACCTGTTAAAATTCACTGAGTCTCTAAAATATTTACTAGCTACTGCAAACTATGGATTATATATTAACAAAAGATAAAATTCTATCTAAACATTCATGAGCCAAACAACACAATATAATAACAAGAACATAGCTTTCCTTGGGAAGATGCATCCATATATCATCATCATCATCACCAAATCAACTAAAAGAGTTTCTCTAGCTGGTTGTTGATGTTGTTGTTAGTGTCATTGTTAAACAGTGAATCCAAAGTAGTGCTGAGGATGTCATCTTCCCAGAACCCCATATTACTGAAGATGTAATCACATTGCCAGTCAACGGCAGGCAAGAAGTCAACGTCATCCAGAATGCTGTTAATGTTGTTGTTACTAACGTTTGATGAAAGAAACCCATTGGAGGAAGATGAAGAACAAGAGGTTGAAGATAGAGGGGCGACCAGGATTTCATGGGGTTGAAGGAGAGGCACTTCCTCAATGGAGAATCCCTCTTTGACTTCCATTTGGTCAACGGTGACCGTTGACTGTTCATCCTTGCAGAAGCTTTGTTCCTTTTCAAAGATTACCTCACAAATTGAGGGACCTTTTGGAGATTCTGGCAGTTTTGTTTTCTGATCTTCATCTTCTTCATCATCACCCCCACTAGTAGCAGAAAGTGGCTGGTGGGTCACTGGATCTACCCCCATTTTCTTCAGCTTTTTCTTGATGTGTGTGTTCCAGTGGTTCTTGATTTCATTGTCTGTCCTTCCAGGCAAATGGGAGGCAATCTTGGACCATCTGCAATTCATATAAATAATGAGCAAGCAAAATTATTAGGGAAATTATCCAAAATAGGATTAAACGAGTTTGTCTTTTCCAAAATAGGACTATGGTGTTTTCATTCCCTAAATATGAGTAATTACTGTCATGATTTGATAGTACGAGAGTTTAAACTTGACAATATATTTTCCAAGTTTGACACTAATTACTCTTATTTAAGAAATAAAAACATGATAATCCTATTTTGGAATTCTGAAACATATTTATTTCTATTCTTATAATTTTATTATTATATTTTTGCTTTTGCTAAGAGCCATTATGTGGTTGTCCTAATTTAGAAGGTCTAGCTAAATTGTGAATGTATAGTAAATAAAGGTTTTTTTTGGGAAAGTTCCCGAAATGGAACAAAAAACGTTTGTAAATTCCAAAATAGGACTGTCATGTTTTTATTCCCAAAATAGGAGTAATTACTGTCAAGTTTGGAAAATACTGTCATGTTTAAAGTCTGGTACAGTCAAAACATGACATTAATTAGTCCCATTTTGAGAATTAAAAACATGGCAGTCCTATTTTGGAATTTACAAACGTTTTTAGTCCTATTTAGGGTAAATTCTCTTTTTTTTAATTAAAAACATTTTAGTGTTTAATTTTGAAAATACAAACATTGTATGACTCTAATTCTCTAATACGTAGTATATAGTAAATTAAAACTTATTTCTCTTGATTAAAACAGTGCATAATTTTATCTTTAGAAAACCTATTTTTTTAGCATAAGACCCTCAAATAATTTAAAACGACCTTTGTGTCCAGTACCATTATATCATGCCCAGCAAATCCGGAGTTAAATATGGTAAGTACGTATATAATTGGACTTTTACTTATATTATGAAGACTTAACCTAGACCTTTTTAAGTTGGATAACTAACAAAGTTATTTGATCCACTGGATCAAAGAATTTGTGTCTAATTAAGTTTGTTTAATTTTAGAAGCAACCTTAAAGGAAAAAGAATGTTGTGCAAAAATTTCAAAATGATGGATGCCCAATAGAGCTGAATTTAGAAAGTTGTCTGCCACTAAAGTTGAACTCCCCACTTTTTATTGTAGATGTTAAATCCAACCAAACCATTGAAAAGAACAAAAGAAAGAGAGAGCATTATTGTAGAAGATGATGATGATAGTGAAGGACTACTAAACTTGTTTCCCAGCTGAGCATGGAGGTCAATGACCATCTTTTCTTCATAATCTGACAATAGTCCCCTCTTCAAGTCTGGCCTCAGGTAATTTATCCATCTCAACCTGCAGCTCTTCCCACACCTCAACAGCCCTGCAATAACACCAAAAGGTCAACAATAACCCCAAAATGCACCTATGAATTTCTTACTTTAGCCCAACTTTTTACCTTTCATGCTAAAAAGTCAAACTTGGTAAATACATACAGATGTAACTTGTAAACAAAACAATTTGCCCAGTAAATGGAAACACAAACCAGGACAGTATTAGTACATATTTGTGGTCATTTTCCATAGTTAACTTAAACTAGATGGTAAAGGTAAGGAAAAGGAAAAGAAACCTGCAAGTTTAGGGACAGCTCTCCAGCAACATTGACCATTGTTGAGGATGAAGGTGATGAGCTTCTTGTCCTCCTCTGCTGTCCATGGGCCTTTCTTCAACCCAGCCTTGTCACAGCATGGTTGCCTCCCCATTTCAGCCTTCTCAAATTCTTAAGCCTTGGGAATTCTGTGCAGATTTTTTATGTACATAAATATATATTTGTAGACAGAAGGAATATAAATGATGGGAAATTCTCAGAATTGAAGGAATATATAGGCTATAGCAGAGGCTTGCTTGAGAGTGCAATTTTTGCCTGAAGACAGACAGTGAAGGGTAGCCTGCATATTCCAGTATATGCAGTGTATATAAAAGCACTGCCCCACCCCTCCCCCGTGCACCCCTCTGTGGGTCCCACCTCCACCATGCCCAAAAGAAAACACGGCTTTACTGGTTTTTGTTTTTGTTTTATTTCTTAAAAGGACTTGGATTCTTAAAAGCATTGTTGACGCTTGTGGTGACGAAAATGCCCTTGCTTGACTTTGAGCTTCCACATTGGAGTTCGAGCCCTAAAAAATGTAGTACAACCCTTTTGATTTTTACGACTTTTAAGAATGTAGTTCCACCGCTCATTTTGGTTTTGTATAGTTTAAATAAAGTACTCCCTCCGTCCCTAATCTTTCTCCCATTTCGTCTGGGCACATTTATTAAGATAGTGAGATTTGTGTGGTGGAGAGTAATGCAGAGCAGAGAGAAATGTGTAAGAATGTGTAAGAATGGTTGTGAACCACAAATTCTTTGTTAAAAGGGGAAAGAGGAGATAATTTTGGGACGGACGAAAAAAAAAAGTTTGAAGATAATTCAGGGACGGAGGGAGTAGAAAGTTTGTATTTGGTCATGTAACATGATTTTAAATTGCGGTGGCGGTTGCGATAGGACTTGTGGCTGATGTGAAGAGAATAAGTTTTACATTCTCATGAAATAACCAAATATAAAAATTACTATAGTGGTCCTAGTGAGTCCTTATGTAAATTGATGTGGTTAACTTGCGGTTGCGGTTATCTACGGTGCACCGATACTTCACCCTGATGCCGTATCCGCGTATCCGATACGTATCCGCGTATCCGATACATACTCACCGATACGCGTCCTGTATGTATTGGGTCCGTATCCGTAATTTAATAAAAGTATCGGGCTTATTTTTAAAAATACTGATACTTCCGATACCCGTATCCGTGAACCAATACGCGTATCCGCCCCTATAACCCTCATTTCATAAACGACATGACGAAAATTTAGTAGCCGCCCAAGCGACCACAAGATGTGGAACATCGATAAAGATGATTTCGGGAGTATGAAAAATAATGGACTACTATAATTTATCATTTTATCGCTTGATAAACTTTAATTGAAACAAAACATAGATGTAAATGCAAATAGAGAACAAAAAATATCATTTGAATTTAAATCGAAATATCAGTACTTTAGATGTTTTAGCCTAATCTTTGAAATTTTATTATAATAGTTAATTTTTTGTACTATACTTATTTTATTTATGAATCCCTGATTTATATATTTGCAAATTAAACCCTGTATTTCTATTATTTATAAATATACCCCGTACCCGTATCCTATAATTTTTGAAATTGCCGTATCACCGTACCCGTATTCGCGTATCCGCGTATCGGCGTATTCGTATCCGTGCAACATAGGCGGTTATGACTTGCGTTGCAGTTTTAGTCGTAGATTTAAAAAACACCGCTATTGCGGTGTGATACGTGTTGCGCTAGCTCCACATTTTAAAACCTGCTATTTGCAATTGACCACTGTTTCTAGAAAAAAGATTAACTTTGTTTGATCTCGAGTCAGTACATTTTTCAACCTTGCCTCGGCTCGTTCACACACTTGCAATAGATAGACTTCGAACCACAGTCATTTCCACAATGGAAAGAAGATATAGTTTAGAGATTGACCAAATTAAAGATGAAACGAAGATAAAAAGGGACATCGGATCGAATACTACCTATGTTCTTAATTAAATAGGTAAAATAGATGCAATACGTTGAATTCTAGCTACCCTATTCACATATTGTGCTTTAATTTGACCGCATTTTATGTATTAATGTATCAGAAATTAAAATTTTGAAAAATACTGCTAATCTCCTCTCATTTTAAAATTTTAGAATCTGAATTTTCAATATTTTTACTAATAAAATAAAATGAAATATATCAATCATCAAAATTGTAGATTGGCAAACGAAAAAATGGAAAGGTTTATAACCAAAAAGTAATACTTCGTACTTCGTATTACGTATAAACTACGGAGATTACATGAAAAAAGGTTGATTGGGAGGTGTTTTCACGTAAGGTCGTAAGGATATTATAATAATGAGGTGTAAACAAAACTTTACCATTAAACATGTAAATCATATTCACTTTTTTAAAATGCTCCGGATATACGCATATTGGCAATATAAAGTAAAAACTTTTGTCTTGCAATAATGTACGTAGTAACGCGTGAGATAAATGCAACGAAAGGGTAAACCATTTGACTATGGAATTATTTATATCTGTACTTTAATTAACTTTTTGTGACTAGAAACGATTTCGAGCAAGTGGAAGCTAAGCATGCAAGAACGGAATTAGTCGCCTCTGTAACGTGACCAAGGCTCTGGCTTTGGCTTTCAGTCCAAACTCAGAAATCAAAATAATATATGCATTGCGACACATCAGTGTGAAAGCGCCACATCACCACCGATGCTTTAGTTTGAAGCATAGGTAATAAATAATGTTTTAAATGAGTTTTTAGGCCCATAAATATAGTACATTTTGTTTTTCGTCCCTGTATTTCTGTTTTGTTTTTCATCCTTACAATTTATGTTAGTTTACTTTTTAGTTAATCACTGTTTAACAACGAAACAACCCCGACTAATATGTTTCCTCTAAATCTTTGTCATGTTATTCAAAACGTATTTAATCAGAATAGACACTATGGTTTCATCAGAATTGGACACTATGGTTTCATCAGAATCTCATATTTGACACTAAGCTTTTAAATGGACCAAATTAGACACTATGGTTTCATATGTATCTCATATTGGACACTAAAGTTTCATAATTCAATATAAGTGAGTGTCCAAAACCTATGAATTATGAAACTTTAGTGTCCAATATGAGATACATATGAAACCATAGTGTCTAATTTGATCCATTTAAAACCTTAGTGTCAAATATGAGATTCTGATGAAACCATAGTGTCCAATTTGAGCCTTATCCCATTACATTTTAGAAGGTTTTTGTATAAATTTAAAAATGTGAATAATTAGTTCTACATTGTTTAACTCTCATATTAGCTTCAAATAAATATATAAAACGAGAAATTTAAAAGTTTCTAGTAGATTTATGCAACCGACAATAATTTGTTTTTAAAATAGATTGATTTTCGAGTTAGAGATGGAATAAAAAATTAGTGCATATTACAAGGATGAAAAACAAAAAAAAAAGTATTTTGCAATGACCTAAAACAAAGTGTGTTATATTTGCAGGACTAAAAACATATTTAAGCAGAATATTTTAACATAAAAAATAATACGTGTAATATAATTAGATGTATACGGAGTAATATATAAACGGGGTACTTTATATATGTACTACGTATATACGGAGTATATAATTTGATTGTGAATATCCAACCATCCGTTTACATGCAAGTTATAACATCACATTTCAATTATCTTTTTCTAGAGTAGGTAAACCTTTTCTTTATCCAAAGACACTAATCGTATTTCAATCGTACAAATCATCTTTATAGTGTGCTCCTTGACGTAAATAATCGATCATACATTCGTACGTACGTGTATATATATATATATATATATATATATAAATATATATATATATATATATATATATATGTTCGTATAGAGTATTAGGGATAATTTCATTTGAACTGAAATTTCATTTTATCTAGTTTGATATAATAAATTTTGATTAAATTTGCTCACGTTAGACTAGTATGAGATTGAAATTAGTACAAAACAACATTCTAAATCGATCATAAAACTAAACATTTGTTACCTCTAAAAAATTATGAAATTAATATTAGAAGGGAACAAATAATGATTGGGTTATTCAGCCAGATTGGGAAAGGTGAGTATTATAAGAAAATTAGGAAAAAATAGGTTAGACAATAAATTACTCAAAAATGAGTAAAACATTGGAGCTTTTCTAAACAACAGTGATGTTTGGTATTCATTGAATAAGATCGACTTAGCTTCATGCATATTCCATTTGCCTATCACCACGATGAACTCCTCTCCGTTCCATTTTGAAAGTTTCATATGGGAAATGGGTTTTTGAAACTGCTCGGCTATTAAGAAAAAGATTTCTCTAGGGGTGGGGCCTATTCATTTACTTAGCACGGATCATAATGTATTTTCGACAAACATTTGTGAATAGATTTCTCTAGGGGTGTTACTGCGTTGACACATTTTAGAACAGATTTGACAGAGATTCATGTATTAGAGCATCTCCAATGCTAAAACGTTAACGGTGCATACGTGGCATGAGAAATAACCAATTAAAAAACAATAAATACAATATCTCTCTCCTTCTTTTCACGGTCTTATGTGTTTATGGTAAGTTTTTGTCTGCAATGTCAATCACAATGTCTACATCTAGACATTGTGTTTGACATTGTGAAGATAAACTTACCAAAATGATGTAAGATTCTTTAAATAAGGAGAGAGATATTGTATTTATTGTTTTTTAATTGGTTATTTCTCATGCCACGTATGCACCGTTAACGTTTTAGCATTGGAGATGCTCTTAGTTCCAAATCTGTTCTAAAGACCCTATAACTTTTTATGATTCCTTGTCAAAAATTCATTCCAAATCCGTATCAATATCATTGTTTTTTTGTACTCATTACTTAGTTGTGAATTGTGATTGATTTTGTTTTGATTTTTTGTTATACTCCGTAAGAGCTAAATTCTATAGATAAGCTATATATGGGTACTCTTTTTCATCCTATCAAATCTTTACTCATACAAAATATACTACGTACTATTCTTATTTGTAGGAAAATTTATACTACGGTACGTATTATATTCTGCCAAAATCTCTATATTTGTGTATGTATTTGGAGCTAAATGAACGCGGTGCGTATCAAACTTTAATGAATTGTACATTTAACCTTTTTACCATAAATTTATATTTTTCATAACATAAATGATCGAGATCTTTTGATATGGCCATAATAAGACGCATGGCAAATTTGAACACTTGTCAATATTTTAGTTTAAATTGATAGACTGATAGTATATTGTAAATGTGCTTCTCTTCTGTATCCAA